AGCTTGACATATGCCTAGATCCGCGCCTGGCATATATGGAGCAGGACCAGGAATCGGCCCTACAAACCTCCTCAACTGCTCTCTCTCCCTCCCTCCCTCCCTCCCCTCTTCCCCCTCTCCTCACCTTGAGTTTCAATTCCTCCAGCTGTTTCTGTTGCTCCGAGCGCGCCTCGGCATACGCCTCTACCGCCCCCTCCTCCTGCAGCAGCACGGGCTCCTCCCCTGCCACCGCCTGCGCCATTTCTGCGTCCTCCAAACCTTCTCCCTCTTCCGCATCCATCACGTCCGGATCATCCTCCTCCTCCACTTCCTCCGCCTTCACGTTCTCTCGCATTTCTTCTTTTGCAGGTCTCCCCGGCGGTGGCATGCTCGCCTCCGAGGCCAGTGGATAAATGGCTGCGCTTTGACCCCGACCGCCCTCACGACCTCCTGGGGGGTTTCCCGACGCGTCATTACGAGCCGCAGTCTCCGCCCCAACTGAGGACACGGGATGGGATGTTCCAGCGGGGGGCGGTGCCACCACCGTCAGTTTGATGGGAATGGATGATGTCGACGTGGAAGGCTTGACAGAGGATCCGGCAAGGGGGCGGGCGAGCGACGCGATTTTCAGTTTAGGTATTTCTTCTCCTTTCTTCCCTCCCTCCCCGGCTGCGTTGGTTACGTCGTTGGTCGCTGTCTTGGCCACCTTCAGTAAGGGCATGGGACCGCCCTGCAATGTGTCTGCTGCCGCAGTACTGGGTTCAGACGAAGTAGGAGGATGTAGCACCACTAGCTTCGGCTTTTGCGAGGGCAACGACAGCGCTGTTTCTGAACCAGATGGAGAAGCCGGTGGATCAGAAGGCGTGTGACTGTGTGAGGTTGTGTTGCCAGTGTCATCCATGGCTAACCTTTATCCTGGACTGGAGAGAGTAAAAGAGATGAGGGAGGGAGGGGAGGTGAGAGCTTGCAAAGGGATTACCTGCGCTCACAAGGAGAAAAATGCGAGAAGTCCTCAAAAGTCGTCACTCTCGCATGATTTTGACTCCAGCATTTCGCACTGCTGCTACATTTACATTTTCAAACCGGAGAGGAACGGAACCTCGTCTCACAGTGCTGCGAGGAAAAAGTTTCGGAGTCCGAATACCGCGAGAGGAGGAGGAGACACAAACTTGCGGCCTTTGTCCTCTGCCGCGATGACCAATTCTAACCGGGCAAAAACACAATCTGCTTGAACCGTTTGATATTCAGCATAACTAGTGCCTCTGCGTACTTTCCATGATCGTAGACAACGCGTCTGAGACGTGACTTTCAGATGCGAACGCTCAGTAGCGGAGCACACGCTTGGATGGCAAGTACTGCATCATGCATGATGTAAGTAGTCAACCTCCTCTCTATATGAAGTGCTCTCGTCCGGTGCAAGAAAATATAGTCCGCTAAGGGGGAAAAAACTCGTGACTACCCTAGAAGAAAGCAAGTATACGCACTTTAAAGCATGCTGCATCAGTTTTGGTTTCACTCATATGATAGCTTTCTGCCCTAGGTTTCAAACTGTGCTGATTAGATAAATGTCTCGACCTCAGTCATCATTTTTTCTAGTTGCACTAGCCGTGGCTGGAACATGAAGAAAGAATCATATTTCATGATATGCCAACCACGATGCGATAGTCTTTTCTGTACCTTGATATTGACTGCGAGATTGACCTTTAGCTGTCCCGTCCCTCTTATAAAATTGTAGAGAGCTAAATTTACGAAGCCACTCTATGCACCACCAGTGTCGAGTATTGTTCTCACGTAGTGCGTTGCATTTATTTGGCCCACGATAGAGCTTGCAAGGTTGGCAAACTGGAGACGATCCTTTTTTGTCTCGTCAAGGGTCTGAGGTCTGCCGGCTGCCATGTGGACACGGGCTCATCTTGGATCGACGTGACGTAGGACGTACAATATGCATAAGCCACAGGGTTGTGACCATTCCTTTTTTTCCTTCTGGATTGTAATGCCAGAGACGAGCACAATTCTGCTCACGTCGAAATCGTGACAATTGACCATCAGCGACTCCCCATGGTAACATACCAAAAAGGCGCTGTGGGAGGCGTTGAACCGGTCCGCGATTTCGTGCAAGAGTGCGGACGGGAGGCCGACGTCGAACATGTAGACGCTGGCGTGTGGCGGGGCGGAGGCTAGCGAAGGAGGGCCTCTTGTCGCTGTTGATCTGCGCCAGCAAGCTCTTGATTGAGCTCTGGGCGATCACGTCCAAGCCCGGCTTAAAGAGCGGGTCCATGGGCCTTCGCGCGGGCGGTACGGTGAGGGGGTTGTCCCGCTTGTAGAAATAAGCGCTATGGACCTCGCTCGAGCCGCGCATCGAGATCTGCATCTGCGTGAGCAGCTTGACCTTGAAGCCGTAGCACCCTCAGAAGAGCGTGGGCCGGTGGTAACAGATGAGGTATCCGCAGAGCGAGGTGTTAAATCGTCCAGCGATCTCGCGCACGACCGTTGGCGGGAAGCCGATGTCGAAGATAGAGACGTGCGTGAAGGGGTCCAGCGTTCGGGTTTCCGTCACGTCGCCGTTTAGGATGAAGATTCTGTGGTTAATGCGGTTTGCTGCCGCGACCATGCCTGGTGCTGCCCGGGATGCCTGCATCTGCCTCCGCGTCCACCGCTGCGGCTGCCTGGGCCTATCGTTATTGATCTGCTCCAGCAAGCTCTTGATTGAGCTCTGGCCGATCAAGTTCAAGCCCGGCTTGAAGAGCGGGTCCACAAGCCTCCGGGCGGGCGGTGCGGGGAGGGGGTTGGCGCGCTTGTAGAAGTAGGCCCTGTGGCCCTCTCTGGAACCGTGCATTGACGTCTTGATCTGCGTGAGCAGGCTGACGTCGAATCCGTAGCGCTCGGCGATGAGCTTGGGTCGGTGGTAGCAGATCAGGAAGGGGCAGTGGGAGGCGTTGAACGGGCCCGCGATCTCGTAGAAGAGCGGGGGGAGTGCTATTATCACGTTCTACTACCTTGATATGCATGCCGGAGACGGAGCATATTACGCGAAGGCCATTGAAGCAAACACCGATTAATGCGGATAAGGAGCCGTTGGATAAGAGTGCGCGAAATTTGATCTTGGCGAGATGTGTTTCAAGGATGGTTGTGGAGGATCTTACAGGAGACATGTACAGGGAGCTTCTACAGTATCTCGGAAGTTCCTGCAAGAAAGAATAGGAATGAATACGACGAAGATAAGCTCACATGTTACTTTTTTTTCGTATACTCATATATCATATTTTATTTGGTATCTTGTCTAGGCGTTCGCCTGCTTGAAAGATGTAACAAACTACCTCCTTGCCTCTTCGCCTGACGGTTCACAATTTAAATTTGAATTCTTGGTAACGGCTCTCTGAGTGCTACGACGCTCGATACATATAGTCGAGTGTATGACATAACTTCTCATATTTTCTATGTCCACATCAGATTTACTTTAAGGTTATTCCATGGTTTTATTTTCTGGAAGTTGCTCGCATTGGAGTCCTGTGTTGGCCTCTCTGTCGGCCCTTCTTTTCGTATTTCAGGTCGTGGCGGAACCTAGTATTGAAGCCTTAGCTGTAAGGGAATTTGAAGGATGGATGTCGCATCATGACAAGGTTTATTCCTCTGCAGGTGAAAGAGAGCAGCGCTTTCAAAATTGGTTGCAGGCTTACGAAAGGGTGCGTCGTCATGCTCATCCCCACTATTCGCTGGGACTCAACGAGATGAGCGATTGGAGTCCCAAAGAACACGCCAAACGCTTGCATCGACGGGATCGTCATGGAAATCACATGCTTGGATTTAACTTAGTAGCGGGATGGCGACGGAGGTTTGTGGAGGAGTTTGGAAGCAATCATCCTCGAATTTTTGACGGCCGATCCGACCCGCCACCCCCGCCTGAAATTGACTGGAGGGATGAGAAGCGGAACCCCAAGCGTGTGCATGGTGTGACACGCATACGCAATCAATATTACTGCGGTGGATGTTACAGTTTGGGGGTGGTGGCGGCGGTGGAGGGTGTGGTAGCAGCCGATCGAGGCTTTCTTAATGAGTTGAGCGACGAGCAAATTTTGGACTGTGATAGAGTCAATCATGGGTGCGAAGGTGGTGACCCTCAGCAGGCTTTGCAGTACGTCATGACTGAGCCTTTAGTACTAGCGGCTGACTATCCTTTTGACGCAGGTGCCGGAAATGTGGGTGAGTGCGCAGCAAAGCAGGCGCCGCCTGCATCTCAGATCCGAAGTTACTTGTACGTGCAACCCTGTGATGAAAGAGTTCTTATGCAAGCTGTGGCTAGGAGCCCTGTGGTAGTAGCAATCGATGCCTCCTGTGACGTGTTTTTGCAATACGCGGGAGGGGTGCTTTCGGACTCTTGCGTGAACGTGAGACTTGGCACGAGGGCCGTTGATGGTGTGTGTGAGGATGCTCTTAACCATGCAGTGGCCATCGTCGGGTACGGAACCGACGAGAAAACTGGCTTAGACTACTGGATCATCAAAAATAGCTGGGGAGTGACTTGGGGAGAGAAAGGTTTTGCTCGCGTGATGCGAGGTGAATCCGAGGCAACTGGTTGGACGACAAAGTGCGGTTTAGGGTGCTTGGAATACTACAATTTCCTGCCCACCGGCGGGGTCGCGTTCATGAATGGGACACTTCAGTCGGATGATAACTTCCTACATGGAGTAGAAGGGACCGCAAGTCAAGCGAAGGAAAATTTCGGGGATATGATGTTGGGGCTGGCTTGCGCCTTGGCAGTCTGCCTCACTATTCTGGCTGCATGGGGAGGGCAGCGCCAGCTCCGACGTATGAACTCACAAGAAAAAGAAAGTACAGTCGAAGACACTGGTCGTGCCAACACTTTCTTGAGAGAACCTTTGCTGCAATTAGAAGAGGAGGAGAAGTCCAATTCTGTTGAAAATTAAGAAAACACAAATGCAGCTATAAGGACTGAAGGACTAACATGTACATGATGTATATTGAAACCATCTTTCGCCATCATCGTTCCCGAGAAATGAAGTTAATAGCACTCTCAAATACATCGTTGACCACAGAATATCATTCACCAGGAGCTTATCACCTGAAGTTTTCAGTGTGATGGCTGTCGGGCATGTCTTCTGGTGCAGCGATGGAAGAGAATTAAGCAGGTGCCAATGGTAAAGGCTTGAGGGAATTACGTTTGTATCACTCACCGGGCGATCGGTACTTCTGGTGTGGCAGCTTCTGCTGCTTATTGTCTTGTTTAAGAAGTATTTACGACGATCCCAGTGCTCAATCCAAAGTATTCTTTCTTATTTCGCTACGGTGTTCTTATCTTGAAGGAAAACCGTGTGTCCCCGACCACCTGGGGGAAGAGTTGCTCGGTGTCGTTCGTACTCCCACCACACTGCCATTAATACATTTCCACAATCATCAACTCCTTCCATCAATGTCGCGCGCAGAGTTATCCATAAATGCGATACCGGACGACCGGACTGTAACAATATATATCTTGGCGGGCGAGATCTCAAGCAGGAGGTCATGAAGGATCATACCTTAGACGAGTGGTGCTCGTTGAGTGAACACGGTGACAGGTAGATGTGGGGACAGGCCAAAATAAAAGGAATATATATGCTAACAAACTCCTAAACGCATGTGTTGATGAAGGAAGTGCCAAAGCATACGAGCACTCATATCGTCCGTAAAGGAAGGAAAAATGTTTACAAAGATCCAGTCAACAAGACTTAAACAAGCAAACAACTAACTCAACCCCCAAAAATCACACCAAAAATCATGTACATGCACATCACGGCCCACAAACGCAAGCGAATTCACACAAAATTAATCAACACAAACCGCTCCCAGCGACCAACATGGGCCGGCCGGTGACCCGCCCCCTGCGTTTTCGTGACGTTCCTCGCGCCTGCTCACCAAAAGCCTTCGACGTCACCATTCCCGGCTTTCCCCGCAGGCACTTTGTCCCTCACCTGCGGGACTGGGCCTTTCGGGGTCGGGACACGGCACGACCTGTACTCTGTGTATTTGTGAGATTTTATTATGTCGTGCTTACGATGGTGGTGTTTGCCATCGTCGTCCTTCCCGGTTTTAAAATGCAGTCGGACTTGATGGCAAGCCTGTGTTGGTTGTTCTGAAAACCGTGTTCTCCGTTCCATTTGCACCACGAACAGCAACATGGCCATCGTCGATTCCACCACCAACCCCGCGCCGACCAACACCAAAAAGGGCCAAAAAAAGAGCGCGCCTGCGATTCCCGTGGAGACGGCGCCGGTGGGTGAGACAGCCCCCGATGTCGTGTCTAACGCCGACAAACAAGAGGAGACAACCTCCACAGTCGAAGCAACCATTGCCCCCGAGGAGGATGCAGACCCCACCATGGAATTGCCCTATGTGGCCAAGGTAGCTTCAGATACCACTTCTGCGGTGTTAGCCGAGTCGTATTTGTTGACGCAACGCGGTCTGGAGACACTCAAAGCCATCGACAGCCGTGTAGGGGTGACGAAGCGTCTCATGGACTTGGACGAGAGCATGGGGGTGAGCAAAAGGGTGCTCGCCACCGCGGAGCATTTGGGTGCCCGTACGCAAGCCCTTGACGCGAAGTACCACGTGACCGCGAAGATCAAAGATACAGCTGAAAGCGTGAGCGAGAAGGCGCTCGAATACCCGTATGTGGCCTCTGGGGCGGAAAAAACCGGAAAGGCTGTCAAATTCGTCGAGCGATGGAGCCGTTCTACTTTGGCCAAGGCCCGCTCCAAGGTGGAAACGCGTAAGAACAAGAAGGGGAAAACGGCCTCGCCCGTGCCGTTGACAGGAGAGGAGGAGGTGCCCATCGACCTGGCGCGCAAGTAGTTGTGACGGGCTGGCCGCCCCTCGGGGCTCGCACGAAGGAAGACACTTGCCATGCACGGGCATTGACGTGTGTCGAGGATAGGGTTGGGTTATGTGTTTGAAGGATCTACGAGACGGCTTTCAAAATTAGCACGGAGGGCAGTAGCATCATTTGCCACCACACCACACGCTAGCTGCCAAGGGTCACCAGCCAACAAACTGCTGGCTCCCAATTTTGAGACTTACATGACGCTGACGATCACGGGGATTACTGGAAAAAATCACGGAGGAAGGATGGATGAGGGCTTACGTTTATGTGTCGTGGGACGATAAGACCTCTCTAAGGGGTGGAGCAAGGCGGAACCCTTTGACGACATTCGTGAGCTCTGGGCATCAAAGATGGGTTTGGCTTAGAGAGAGAGGCAATGATGCTGAAAAGGAGGCCAGAGAGCGAACGCTAGAAATTCATGTCTTACCCGTTTAGTGAGCGACCATGAGCGCACCGTATCGTTCAGGAGCAGGTCACAACGATCACTCCTCTCCTACGAAACAGTTTTTGTTTTCTTTTCTTGCTGCAGATTTTATTCAAATGCCACATCAATTAATGGATCATTCCTATTTTCCAACCCATTTACCGTACCGAAGCCGACCACGCACGGCTGACATCATCTTAATACACATAGGCGGGTGTGTAAGCACTCAGCAACATCTTTCAACTTCCTGACTTCCCTTTACATCTTGACGCGGCTCCTGTGCAAAATTCAATGCACACGCGAAGCTACCTGTGTAAGTCATGGCTCCCTCATTCGACCGTTCGCATGACTTCATTCTGTGGTTGTCTCCTTTACTACGTAAGGACCCTGAGGGACACGTTCGCCCCTCCATTCCACCATATCCGTGTGCTTGCCTTTTTGCAAATCGACAGGCCCCTCCCTTCTTTTCTCTTTACTTCCCCCCGTCCCTTTCTTGTGCCATTTCGCTGCCCTTATCTTATTATCGACCTATTCCCTGGATGATCTTCCTCCCCTTCTCCTTGCTAGCGTCCGAGTCCTTTTTAGCGAGTCAGTCCGTCAGGCACCTGACATCCCCGTCTCGACTTCATTTCGACCTCTTCTTTGCAAGTCACGGTGCTATTCACGACCGCACCGCATTAACTCTTTACCGAAGGTGGGGGAACGCCGTTTTAAATCCCACCGGTCCCTCTCCCCGCTCCCACTG